TGCTGATGCTGATGCTGATGCTGATGCTGATGCTGCTGCTGCTGATGAGGAGGAGGAGGAGGAGGAGGAGGAAGAGGCGGAGTAGGAGGAGGAGGAGGAGGAGGAGGAGGCGGAGGATGAGGAGGAGGAGGAGGAGGAGGAGGAGGAGGAAGACAGGAGGAGGAATCCGTAGCCATTTTGGCTCATGCCTTTCCGTAGGCCCCCCGCTCCTGGACCTCGTCCCCAGGCGTACCCTGCGACCCCAGATTGACGGGGCAACGCGGCGGGCGTTGGGGATTTGGGGGAGAGGGGATTTTGGCTTATGGGCATGGAGATGGCTGCGGGAGGCGTCCCTGGCGGTGGCGCAATTTTTTCTTCGAGTCCTTCGCGGAGTTCCGGAGGCGGGCGGCTTCGCGGCGCGGCCGGTGCTCGGGCCTCTGCTGACCGCCTTGTCGCGAGGCTACAGGCGGAGTTGGGTGCCGTCCAGGCCCGCCTCAGCGCCGCCGAGGACACGCTCGGCCTCCTCGTCGGCAGCGGGGAAGCGGCACAGCGGGTGCAGGCTCTTCTGCCGGCTTTGCTGTCCAGGTTGGCTGGCCGGTGTCCCGCGTGGCTGGACGTGCTGAGGCGAAACGTCGCCCTCCACTCCGACGCCGCGGGTATGAACATCGCCACCGCTGGCGCCTCGGAGCTCAGGAGAGCCCAACGCGGTCCTCGTCTTGAGTCTCAAGCGGAGTGGGACGTGCTGCCCCGTCCTGCTGGGAATTGGGAGCCGCTTCCTCTTCAGCCCGAGGTCAGTGGCGCCAGCTGCCCCAATGCCGATGCTGGTATTCGCTGCACGTGCGGCGCGGTGGCTTTCTCGAGTGCGTTCTTGGGGCCGCCGCGTCAGGAGCCCAAGGAGGGAGAGTACACACCCGTGGAAGCGGTGCAGCAGCCACGGCCCATGCTTAGAGCTGATGTCGACGCTTTCGTGCCGCTGGAGTCTCTGCATTCTGAGTTGTACGGTTTGCGCGTAGTTGCTTGGGCCCGTGGGCGGACGGTGCGCAGAGTTCAGCCTTTCGTTCATCGTCGTCGGCGGCTCGACTCCTTCGACGACGTGGCGGACTACATCAGCGAGCGCCTCGCGGAGCTGGAGCAGTGGAATACCACCTTGACAGCATCGGCACCGCAACCTTGCTTGGGCCGACGCAAGAGACTCGACAAGAGTTGGGGTGCTAAACCCGTCTCTGCAGATGATTGCAAGCAATCTTAGTTTGTCATTGGTGGGCTTGGTCTGTCCTGAAGGCGTGTACTGAGTGCGCCAGCTCTCGTTCAATTTCGGGATGGCCTTGTGCTTCATCGTCTGACCCCAGTTTTTTGTGCTTCATCGTCTGACCCCAGCAGCGGGACATGGTGCGCCAAGGACCTAGAGGACCTAGAGGAAGACAGGAGGAGGAAGACAGGAGGAGGAGGAGGAGGAGGAGGAGGAGGACAGGAGGACAGGAGGATGAGGAGGAGGAGGAGGAGGGGGGGAGGAGGGGGAGGAGGGGGGGGAGGAGGAGGAGGCGGAAGGGAGGCGGAGGAGGAGGAGGAGGAGGAGCAGAGGAGGCGGAGGAGGAGACGAGGACGAGGACGAGCCGAGGACGAGGACGAGGGACGAGGAGAGGAGGTGGAGGATAGGAGGAGGGGAGGAGGAGGAGGAGGAGGACGAGGAGGAGGAGGACGAGACGAGGAGGAGGAGGGGAGGAAAGAAAGGGAGGAGAGGAGGAGGGGGAGGCGGCGAGACGAGGAGGAGTAGGAGCGAGGAGAGGAGGGTGATGGAGGAGGGAGGAAGAGGAGGAGGGGAGGAGGCGGAGGAGGGGAGGAGGACGACGAGGAGGAGGGGGAGGAGGAGGAGAAGGGGGAGGAGGGGGAGGAGGATGGAGGAGGAGGAGGTAGGAGGAGAGGAGGAGGAGGAGGGGAGTTGGAGGAGGAGAGGGGGAAGAGAAGGCGGAGGAGGATGAGGTACACGAGGAGGAGAGGAGGAGGAGGGAGAGAGGAGGAGGAGGAGGAGGAGGGAGGAGGCGGAGGATGGAGGGCGAGGAGAGGAGGAGGAGGAGGTGGACGAGGAGTAGGAGGAAGAGCGAGAGGAGGAGGAGGAGGAGGAGGAATGAGAGGGAGGTTGGGGAAGGAGGAGGAGGGGAGGAGAGGAGGAGGAGGAGGAGAGGTGGACGAGGAGGAGGAGGAGGGGACGAGGAGAGAGAGGAGGAGGAGGGAAGAGAGGAGGTGAGGAGGAGGAGGAGGAGGAGAAGGAGGAGGAGGAGGGCGAGGACGAGGAGGAGGTGGAGGAGGAAGGGGAGGAGGAGGAGGAGGAGGAGGAGGAGGAGGAGGAGGAGAAAGACAAGGAGGAGGAGGAAGAGGTGGACGGAGGGGAGGAGGAAGAGGAGGAGGAGGAGGAGGAGGAGGAGGAGGAGGAGGAGGAGGAGTATTGGCGCCCATCCCCGACAGGCTTGAGCTCTTCCCGGCCGCCCCGGCCCCCGCGGCCGCGCGAGAGGCGGAGCAGGCAGGGCAGGGACCGCTCGAGGCGGCCGCCCACCCCATCAGAAGACTGGGCGGCGGCGTAGGCACGAGCGTTCTGGGAAGGCCGGCCCTGCGTCGTTTCCTTCCTCGTCTCCCTGTCCGCCCCGAGGCCGCGTGTGTGTGTGTGTGTGTGTGTCTGTGTGTGTGTGTGTGTCTGCGTATGTGTGTGTGTGTGTCTGTGTGTCTATGTGTCTCTGTGTGTCTGTGTGTGTGTCTGCTTGTGTGTGCTTGTGTGTGTGTGTTCGCCTCAGGCTTCCTTTACCACTTGCCAGCCTGAAATCTACAAGCTGGCAACAGATTATCACATTGAGGGCGGGCCGCTTCCAAAATGCGGCTCTCGTCCTAGCGCAGCGCACATTCCTTTGAAAAGAGGAAGAGTGGCTATCGCTTTTTAAGTTCACGCACATTCGTTTTAAAAACCACATCATTTTCAATGATTGAGAGCGGTTGGTTTTGAACATGTGGTTCTCGCTTTAGCGCCGCGCGCACTCGTTGTAAAAATGTTAGGAGCTTCGCGGATTGAGGGCGGCTCCTGTTTCCAATTGCGATTATCACTTCAGTGCCGCTCACATTCGTTTCAAATGTTTGCAAGAGTTTCCTTTTGTTCTCCAGGTTAACGAGCCAGAAATGGTGTTTTGCAACGATTCAGGATAGACAGGGCGCAACACTTACTTTGATTCGCGATGTTGAGGCCCAGGGGTGGTGTACTGGCGCGATTCAGGGTCCTCAAGACTCAGCAGTCTGACTGACTCGTGGCGCTAAAGTCCTGATGATGGTGTTTGGCACGCTTCAGGATTTTCATACGTTTGCTCCAGAACGGGGCAGTTCCCTCAGTGGGAATGAACGTTTTTATGGGGCCTATGAAGAGGGAGTTTAGAGGGAGGGTTAATGCCAATTTCGTTGATGAGTCTTGGGTTTACACTAGTCCTCCTCCTCCTCCTACTCCTTCCGCCTCCTCCTCCTCCTCCTCCTCATTCCGCCTCCTTGTCCTCCTTTTCCTTCCTCCTCCTCCTCCCTCCTGTTCCTCCTCCCGCGTCCGCGCGGGTGTTCTGGGAGGTGCTGGTCGGCGACGAAGTCCGTACCGCACCCTCGCCGTCCACGGTTTCAGGCAAGGCAATGGGCGGCGTGGGTCTCGGGCTCCGCTGACGACGCGAGGCGTTCCAGGAAGGGCTTCGCTTCCGAGGACAGAAGGAGCTGTCCTACCTCCCTCGGCGGACGGGCGGCGGGAAGGTCGGCGGAAGTAAGGCGAGGCTGCCTCCGCCGGCGGAAGCCGGCGAGAGGCCGGCGGAAGGCGGCGGAAGTAAAGGGTGCGCCCACGAGAGATGGGCACATTTGTTTTGAGGGTTTCCCGAAGCCGCCACGTGGCCAGAGCCGAGCCCTGCCCCCGTCTCCCCCCAGATGCCGGAGAGCGGATGGTGCTGGCGGGGGCAGGGCTCGGCTGTCGCCACCCAGTTGGGCCCCAGGCCTCTCAAGCAGGGTGATCTTCTAGCCTTCCTGCTTCTAGGCCTCTTGATCATTTCTTTGACTATTTCTTATTCGTCTTTGACCATCCGCCTATAGAAGGACATGCCCGACCTAAGCCCAGGGCTCTAGGCCTGCTAGACAGGGTCGAAGCAGATGGGGTCGCAGGATCGCACCGCATCGCCGAGGCATCGGCGGTGCGGCTTGATGCAGAGGCCGATTCTCTCCCCGCCGACTGCGCCGATGCATCCCCGACGTCTCGCCGCTGCACTGCCGATGCACCGGTGGTGCATCGGCGATGCGCTGCGATACCCCGACCCCACCGACGCCATCGATTCCCATAAGGGAGGTTTCCATGTGCCCCCACAACCCCACACCCTCGCGCGTCGCCAGGACGGACGGGGCCAGGACGGACGGGGCCAGTCCGTACGGACCTCCGACAGTCGGACGGGGCCAGGACGAGGATAAATCTGATGATGATGATGATGATGATGATGATGATGATGATGATGCTGATGCTGATGCTGATGCTGATGCTGATGCTGATGCTGATGCTGATGCTGATGCTGATGCTGATGCTGATGCTGATGCTGATTCTGATGCTGAAGCTGATGCTGATGCTGATGCTGATGTTGATGTTGATGTTGATGTTGATGATGATGATGATGATGATGATGTTGATGATGATGGTGGTGATGATGATGTCGATGATGGTGAAGATGTTGTTGATGCTGATTGTGATGGTGATGGCGATGCTGGTGGTGATGATGATGTTGATGATGATTATGATGATGATGCTAATCATGTTGTTGATGCCGGTGATTCTGGTGATGATGACGAAGATGATGACGGTGTTGATGATGATGATTATGATGATGATGAGAATGCTAATGGTGGTGATGGTGATGATTGTGTTGATGATCACGTTGATGATGGTGATGGTGATGGAGGTGATAATGGTGAGGAGGAGGAGGATGAGCCTGAGGATGAGGATGATGATGATGCTGCTGCTGCTGCTGATGCTGATGCTGATGCGGAGGAGGAGGAGGAGGAGGAGGAGGATGAGAATGGAGACGAGAACGTTGTCTTCTCAGAGCGTTCCAGACTCCTCTCGATGCGCTCCAAAACGCTCCGAACAGAACGCGGTGCCGATACATCCTTCACAGCCGCCGGATCTCAAATATTCTCGATTGATCCAGCCCCGAGTTTATCTTCGTCCTGGCGTCGACTTAGAGAGCTCATGATCGCGCCGTCTCTGCTGGTCTTCTGCCCATGGCCGCCATCATAGGGGCCATGCGGGGGATGAAGGGCCACTTCAAGGGCTTGTTCAAGGGCAAGGGCAAGGATCGGCGGCGCGCACAAGGGGGTGGCGCGAGGGGGTCGGCTTTCTCCGGGAGCCTTCGTGGACGCCTCTGGGCCCTCCCAAGAATCGGGAGGGGGGGGAAAACACACAGGCACAATCAATCGTTGCTTCCCTGGAGAGTTTGGGACACATGGGCAGTGCAGGGGACGACGAGCATCCATAAAGAGTGGAAGATCTGGGGAATCCTGGGATTTGCCTCGAGGTATTCGAGTGTGTCCCTGGGCCCCTTCACAGAAGGCCACCGCCCTCCAAGAAGCCCACATCCCTGGAGCAGCTCTCTCCATCCCGAGCCGCTCTCGGACGACGCCTGGGGCCCGGTGAGGGCCTCCGGAAGCCACAGGCCCGTCGCGATTCTGAGGCGACGCGGCGCGAGGGGGTCCTTTTCAATCGGGCCTGTCCCTCTGCAGGAGGAAGATTCAGAAATAGTCAAAACATAACAATTGTTCAATATGTTTCGATCCTGTCTGAGCTTTTTTTGTTTGCCCAATTCTCTTATGCCCTCCAAAATCTGCCTGTAGGCTAAGGCTCCTCCCGAGACTTCCTCCGATATGGTTTGTTCCATCCGCGGACCTGAGCTCCCGACCCTGTTTCCCAGGGGTCGATTTTTCCGCCCGGACCAATGTTTGGTGGTCTCGAGGTCCGACGGCGGGCACAAAGGCCGAAGTCTAGGACAAACGATCAGATTGAAAAACCGGAGAAACAACAACTGCATGAGCACACACACTTTTCACGGTCTGCGCGGATTTCCTAGATCTGCGCTGGACCCCCCTTCCTAGCGCGCGGAGCGCGCCAGGCGCGTCGCCGGAGGCGCCGCCAGATCCGAGAGCCGCGCGGACCGGCGAAAGTTTAGTGTACGTCGTTGCAGTCCTCTTCATTATCTGAAAGACCGGGGTCCTCGGAGAGCCGGTTCGTGCGCGCCGCGCCCACAGCTTGGCATCGCTCGGGTGTGTGCAGTTCTCTTCGGCGAGGACCGTTGAGGAGCAGCTTGGGTCATAGTCGGGAAATCAACGAACGAAGTTGAAAGATGCACGGAACATGGACGTCCGAGCGATAGCAAGACAGGGCAAGGGCAAGACGCAGCTCGACGGCCACGCGGGCGGCGCGCTGGGGACGCTCGCGCGCGCCCTGCGCCAGCTGCACGCGGCTGACATGCTGAACGCCAGGTGCGTCGCGGCGGTGGTCGCGAACTCGCTGGGGGACCTCGGGCGATGGCAAACCTGCAGAAGGGGAGGAACAGGAGGAGGAGGTGGAGAGAGGAGGCGGAGAGAGGAGTAGGAAGAGGAGGAGCCACATCATGAAGCTGTGGTTGCCCTCCCGCAAGCGCACGACAGCGTGTACAGGCAACGCGAGGCCAGTGGTTGACCATGAACCTGGTTGCGCCAGCCACGCGCCAGGAGGCGGAGAGAGGGGAACAGTATTACCTCCGAGGGAGCGAGAGTTCATTCTGGAGGAGGCGGATGAGGAGGAGGAGGGAGGAGGAGAACGAGGGCAGGAGGAGAGGAACGATGGGGAGAGGCGAGAGGAGGAAAGAGGAGGAGAGAGGCAAGCCAGGTGTGCTCGCGCCGTGCCTGCCATCTTACCCCTGCAACCCATCCCTTCCCATTACGCTGAATTCGATTATATCTGCCGACTGGGGTGTCCAGATGACTGTGATCCACAAAATGACCTCGTGCGATGCGCAATCAGAAATTGATGGGCGTTCTACGTTGAAGGAAGCGGAGGAGGAGGAACACGAGCAGGAGGAGCGCGAGCAGGAGGAGTACAGTAGGAAGAGCAGGGGGACTCAGGGCAAGGCGGAGCATGGAAAGTGGTAGGGGCGGCATGGACGAGGAGGAAACGGCGCCGCCTGTGTCTTCCGGAGCGCTCGCACGCACGGCAGAGCGTCTTCGGGGGCGAGAGGAGAGGAGTGTTCATGCTGAGTGCGTGTGAAGGCCAGTCCACAAGAAACCCTTTTCTCCTCCTCATCCTCCTCTTCCTCCTCTTCCTCCCTTTTTGGGAGGGCCAGGGACGATGCCAGTGAACAAACGCAGTGGAAAGGCCTGGCCGCAGGCAACCCGAGGGGAAGCACATCTGGTGACCTGAGACAAGACGAAACGTCGGGAGCATGAAACATAAACCCACTGCCAGCTCTGAGATCTGGCGGCTCTGGAAGATGTAAGGGGCGCTGCGGCCTTCTCAGAGCTTTCCTGAACGCTCTGAGAGCATTCCAGGACGCTCGGGAACGGATTTATCCTCGTCCTAGCCCCGTCCCATGGCTGGATTCACATGTGGAACACCTGGAGGCCACGCGCTGGGTAGACATCCGTGGAAGGCCGGCAGCATGCCCTTCCATTAGGGGGGCCGAGCGCTGAAAAGGCGTGCGGCCACAGGTGTAACCCCATCCCTCGCCCAGGCCGGCCGCGCTATGTGTCTGCAGCTTCTTGTCGGGGACCTACTGCCCCGGGCCAATCCAGACCCCGGTCAGTCATGCCTTGCAGGATCCTGCAAGGTCCTGGCAGGATCCTGCAAGATCCTGCACCCTAGCACGGGTCAGAGCAGTCCTGGCTCTGCAGGATCCTGCAAGACCTGGCGCCCTGACTGACCCCCGCTTGGATTGACCCGTGTCTCTTGAGCCCCGATCCTCTCCTCCTCCTCCTCCTCCTCCTCCTCCTCCTCCTCCTTCTCCCTCCTCCTCCTCCTCCTCCTCCTCCTCCTCCTCCCCCTCCTACGTGCCTACCCAGCGCGTGGCCTCCAGGTGTTTCACGCGCGAATGCGGCCATGGTTGTTCCCAGCTCCCCGGTGGCATCGAGCGCTCTGCGCTGCCCGGGGAGCCGCGACCGCTCAGCGTCGAAGGGCCCATGCGCTGTGCGTCAGAGGGCGCGCGGGCCATCGCGACACGAATCTGCCGCACCCTCCGTGGACGTGCTAGCGGTGCGTTAGCTAACGGCGAAGCAGGGATTCCAGCTGTAGGAAAGTGCGGCTCGCGGAACTTGTAGGAGCGCGTGGCTGGTGTTTTCCTGCAGCTCGCGGTGTCGTTCTCGTTCGGCACACCTGCATATTCGAAGTGTAGGAAGCGGCCTTTCGTGATGTCCTACAGCTTGCTCTTCGCGAGCTCGGCGCCACGAACACCAGATCCCCAACCGCACCGTGAACCGAGCGCGCCGTGAGCGCGGCCTCGAGCCCTGGAGCGAGCCTCCGCCCTCGCCTCGGCATGCCCAGGGCCGCGGTCTTGGAGCACGGCCTGGCCGGATCCGTGGCCCCCGCGGCGCCTCACTGGGTGTGCGGCGCACGCACAGTCGGGCCGAGGAAGGAGGAACCCCTTTCGTTGGGGGGGGGATCAGCGTTCCTCCACTAGGTTGCAGTCTGTCTTGGGCCATCGCTTGGGTTTCTAGGGGAAGTCGAGGTTGAAGTGAGGGAGAAATCGGGCCCCGTTCCTTACCTAGGGTTCCTCATGACAGCGTTGCGACTGCACGTCCCCAAAAGGATAATCCGCTTGGCCCCTCCTCGAGGACCTGATCGCCCTCGTGGCGGAGCACCCCGAGGTGATCGACTGCGCCGCGGGCGCGCAGCCGGAGGTCGTCAGAAGGGGGGAAGTCCTCTGCCCTCCTCCGCCCCCGCTCTCCTCCTCCTCCTTTTTCCCCTCCTCCTCCTCCTCCTCCTCCTGCTCATCCTCCTCCTCCTCCTCCTCACTCCTCCCTCTTCCTTCCTTCCTCCTCCCTCCTAGCCGCCATTTGGGCTTCCAGCAGGGCGCGGCGGCACAGACCCTACACTCATGTTTTCTGTCACATGACTTGTCAGGTTTTCGATGCATCACTGTCTGCTGGTGGCCATCGTTGCCGCAGGAGCCTGCTTGCAGCTCAAGCCCGAACGATGTTCGTGCAAGATGGCGGATGTAAAGGGACCAGCGCTGCTCCCACACGTGTGGCGATCTGGACACTTACACCCATTATCGGCATCGAGACGAGACAGACAGCAAGACATCACATTGGCGTGCGTGGCTCTGGTCGGCATTGGCATGAAATGGACTTTCCTGTTCAACAGAAGCGTATGTAACAACGTTGGCAGATGGAGGCTGGTTGGAAGGCAGGTCCGTTTACCACCAATTTGGTTGGTATCACCATGACGTGTTCGGCAGAACCATAAAGCAGCGCCAATTTCGGCGAGTGGATGTTCCAGGCCTTTCGCTCGCGGGCGGAGGGCTCGCAGTCTGCGCGTCTTGTTATATCGACTTCACGTTCGTTGGAGTGTATCAAAAGGGACCACCAGGTTCTACACGTGCAGTTTCGGTTTCCTGCTTGGTCGCAGCCGCGGAACTTGCAAGCTGCGCGGACACGTTGGGATCGTGACAAGATGATGGCCGCCATGCTCCTTTCACCATAGCGTGATTAATATATTCCTGCAGTGGAGGAGCGGTTTTCGAATGGCGAAGAGCTGATGTGCGACCTGACGCCCCGCCTACTACCTAACTCACTCTGGGCTCATCTGGAAGGCGCCATGGTGAAGGTCGCCGAAGATGGGGAGGGAGACGATTGGCGATCCACGTCGTGGAGCATCGTCGTGTGCTGCTTCGTCGTCGGCGCATTGCCTTGAACAGCGTGCCCGACGCAAGTAGCTGCAGGGCTGACGCCAGCCTTGATAGCGAAGGTGTCCACGGCGAAGAGAAACGCACCCGGGATGAGCTTCGCCAGCTGTTGCGACACATGAGACGAGAGCGAGTTATTGAACGGAAATTGCTTCGCGATCACAGGATAGGCGAGACGTGGGAACAGCGGGGGAAGCTCCACGACGCCCACAGGCTGGCACGAAGAGCAGCAGGGAGCAAGTTCGGCACAAAGAAGCGACCCTTTCTGGCTGCGCAGGGGGCCCCGCTGTCGGTTCAGGAATGGATTGGCCAGTTGGGCAAGCCGGGCAGGGAGGGCGGCATGCAGGCGGCGATCATCTTGTCCTGGATCCAGTTCGCTCGCTCGAGCACGAGTGGACAAAGACCTCGCGCCCGATGGCGCGCCGCCGTCGAATGGGCGCCAACACGAGCGAGCGAAGGCAGACCCATCGAAACTCCAGAGGTGGGCCCTGCGGGCCCCGCGGCGGAAGGCGGCCCCGAGCCGGGCTGCCCCCGGCGAGCTTGTCAGGAATTTTGCCAGCCCCTCCCACCGCGGCCTCGCTTCGTAGTGGGGGGGCTCGGCGCCGACGAGCCCGAGCTGGAGGCTCCGCTTTCTCGGGCCCACCTTGAGAATGCTCACTTTCGAATTCGCACCGGCTTGCGAACCGCTGTTCTGCGGCATTCCAGTCAGGGGGTCTCCTGGGTCAAGAAAACAGGCGGCGCCAGCTTCGGGGGAACGGCTTCTGGGCTTCAAACGATCCACCTCATCCCTCCGCTCCGCTAGGGCCAGTGATCCACTCGCTCTTCGACGCCAAAGATGCCTTCCCAATCGCGCGGCTTCCTACCGCATCGCTGCAAGGAGAATGCCAGTGCAAATGGATGGATCATGATGTAGAGGTCCGGCGCGCGGGCTGCTTCGGTTTAGCTCGCTTGCGCGATCGCGCCGACGCCTCTGCCAGTGCGGGGCGGGCTGGCACGCGAGCCTCTTCAGCGGGGCCGATGGAAGACGGGCCCGAGAGGCTCGGACGTCAGCGCCTCGAGGAAATCGAATCCCGCTGGCAGCGCGAGGAGGGCCCCTGCAACGCGCGACAGCGCGTGCCCGCGGTCCAATCGGCCGCCCAGGACTGGGGGCGCAAGTTGGAATTGCGGGCCTTGGAATCGGGGGAGTTGGTCGATCGGCGCCCTCTCCTGCATCGGGCCGTGGACGCGTCGCGAAGTCTTCAATCTGAGGATATTCTGAGTACTGCACGCGCGGGGTTCTGCCAGGGACTTCAGGGGAGAGCGAGGAAACGCTCTCCTGGGCAGGACCTCGCGGAGGTAGGTCGCAATCAGAACTCGGGCAATCAGGACCTTGCATTCGTTGTGTCCGGGGCGGGCGCGGTGGCCCATGCCCAGGGGGCCGCGAATGCAACGGGTTGCCTTCCCCGCCCCGCGCGGCGCGCATGCGGGGTCGTACGGGGCCCATCTGTAGCTGCGCTGTGGAATTCATCCGCCGCCACGCGGCTGCGGCGGCGGCGCCTGCCCCCTCGGGGCCTGCTGTTGATTTGAACGAACGCCGTGGTGAGATGAGCGAATCCGTTCAATTTGCTGCGTTCAAAACACCGCCCTGCATTCGAACGAAGCATGCGTCTGCTCGCAGTAACAGCACGTCGAGCTAGACCATGCAGTTGCAAAGCACTGCAGGAGAGTAATGACAAGGTGCTGCCCTCGAACAGCGCGAAACAGCTTACGGCATTTAAACATCGGTCTCTCAGCGCGGTACAAGTTCTGGGGCATTGGGCGCATGGCCCCCGCGAGCCTCGAGACGCGGGCGCGGCGCGCGCGCGGGCTGCGACCGGTCGTCGCCTGTCAATCAGCGGGGAAATGGCAAGATCATCGCCCCCCTTGCTCGGTCGCTTCCCGCTGGAGGCGACGGACCACAGTTGCTCGCGAGACTTGGTCCGACGCGAACACGTGGGCCCATCTGTTTCGAGATGGCGCGCGCGAAGGGGTCTACGGATTAAACGATCAGAGTGGGTTCTCGGGGAGGCGCGCACGGTTGGGGCGAGCGCAGATTTCCACAGACAAAGCATGCAACGCGAGTTCCCGGCGCAAGATTTGAAACAGTTGCGACGAGGGGTTCGTGCGTCAGCGGTTCCGCCGCCAGGATGCAGGCTGGAGAGTTTACCAACGCAGCCAATAGCTACAGCCAGTATACACTGGTGGGGGAGGATGGAGACGCGGGCCCAGATGGGAAGATGGGGGGGGCGCATGGCCAGCCCTGACGCGCGCAAGGGGGTCGCGCAGCATCGCGCGGCGCAGCGCGGGCAGCGAGACGCGTGGGCGCGAGCTGCCATAACCGACGTTTGCCCTTTTGCGTTTGACGGCCTTCAGTCGTGTCAGGACGGCCCAGCGTCATTCACTTTCGAGCGTCGCCAGAGGTGGCCGATGCGTTGAGCGGTCTCGCTTTATTTTTTGGGGCACCCAGATAGAATTGCCCGCCATCGCCATTTCTGCGACCATCGGGCCCAAACCATCTCCGATAACACGGGCCCCATTTCGCGATGCTGCGTCTCGCGCAGAGATGCGCCCGACCCATCGCGAGAGATATCAGCGCAGCGGCGATGTCTCTTTCCTCCGCTCCGAGCCGGGGATTGAAGAGGCGCGGGGGCGCCTTCGCCGCGGGCCAGCCGCCCGCCGGGGGCCCGGGGACGTCAGCACGGTTTCGAAGTTACTCATAGTGCATGCCAAGTCGTCGCTCACCAACGTCTCCGAAATTCGAGAGAGCACAGGGGTGCTGTAGAATGACATCTTGATCGACGCCGGGGGCGTCGTCGCAGTCAAACTATTCGAGCAATGACGCATCTACCACAATGCCACGATGAACGCCGAGAACGGCCCAACCGCTCGAGAGGCCCCTGGGCCACCCTGCGCGCGCATCTGCGCAGGGCTCCTGCAGGGCACTGGCAAGCGCGCGAACCTGGAAGAAACCGCGAAGGAGCCGCTCGTGCAGTTATGGGCGACGGAGGCACAGAAGGAGGGCAAGACGCCGCCCCTTCCTCTTTGCAAGGGGGCGCGCTGCAAGCGCATGCCCGCGAGGCCGAAGGACGGCGAGCCAAGGCTCTCGAATATCACGGTCGCGATGAGCAGGGAGCACAGCGAGCTGCAGCAGATCTTGGCCAAGTCGCTAACGATGAAAGGAGGGGTGCTCAAGCGCGGCCCCGCGCCGCGGGGGCCACTAGAGCGGGCCGCCCAATCATTCTTAGAGGAGGTCGAGGTTACTTAATCGACGGGCAGCGAGGGCAAGGGCGGCAGGAAGGGCTAGATGGAATTCCAGCAGGAGTTTGGTTGACAGCCATACAGCGCGTGCACATTGGGCATTTCCCTCATCGGCTATTGGAGCTGGTGAAGGGAGGACAGTGGTGACACTTGACGCGGCGATGAGGCATCCTGGCGTTGCTTCTGCCAGCTTTGTTTTGCAGCCCCCTGTTAGGAGGCAGAGGGGTAGAGTGACCGACCAGAGAGGAGTCGAGGACGTCGTCGAGCCCGTCGATGTCGTCGCTGGGTCGGTCGTTGGTTGTGAAGGCTGGAGTCACCCCCCATCGAGAGTTCCCAAGGCACCTGCCCAGAGGCGGGGGAGGAGGGGCTAGAGAGCGATTTGTGTAGGGCGACTTACTTTCAAGAGGTGTGGAGTTGGTTGTCCTACCAACGCCGACTTCCGACCCTGGAATGCGGGGCTGCGCTTTTGCACCTGTCAGTTTCTGGGCCAGGAGCGACGGAGGCGAGAGTCACCAGGCGCTCATGGCAGATTTCTTCTGTGTTTGTGGTGGTGGGGGGGGCTTATCAGCTAAGTTAGCGCACGACAATGCCCCAGACAGCCCGAGCAGAGTTATTGTTTGCACGATGGCCCCACAAGTACCTTGGCAGGTCCTCAGGGCGGAGACAGGCCTCAATGATAAGTTGTTATAAACCGGCGAACCCGCCAAGCGGCACCCAGGCGCCACACGCAAATCAGACGAACCTAGTGCCCCCGGAGCTCGATCCGATCTGATCCTCCCTCCTCCCTCATTCCTCCTCCCTCCTCCTTCTTATTCCTCCTCCTCGTTCTCCTCCCTCCTCCGCCCTCCCCGGATGGACCGACCTGGGTACCGATGCTCTTCCCTCGTTTCCGCTTTGGGGTGTCCTGGGGGGCCCTGAGATCCAGGCGTCGCAATTTCACGTCGGGCGTCTTCGCCCCGTTTCGAGCATTGGCGCCCCCACAGATCGGCCCGGATGGCGAAGGGCCGCAGGAAGCCGGGGTTGCACCGCCATGGGCTGTATTTTTCGCGGTTTTGCAATGTCTGTCGCCACGCCGGATCTCAGGGGCCCTCGTCGCCACGGCCGGCTTCGCCTCAGAGTCCTGGCCATCACGCGCAGATCGATCCGGGCCGAGACGTGCCGCAGCAAGTTTTGGTATAGTGCTCCGGGCCTGAGTTCTCACTGCTCACAGTCTCATGTTTTTGTTGTTGGGCTCGCCCCGGGGTCTTGTGTCAGAATGCGCTCCTGGAGAGGCCCACAGAGAATCGGCGTCGGTATTTTTCATGGTTTCGGCAAGGCGCTCGCCATGAAGTGAGGGGCGGTCCAGGAGCCGGAGGCTCCTCGCCGTTTCGGGACCCTTGGGCCGCTAGAGAGCTGGTCGGGAAGGACTCTGGTCCTGAGAATTCGCCGTTTTCGGGCACTCCCCGGGGTCCTCCCGGAGACGCCAAGGCCCGTTTCTCGCCAGGACGCCGTTTTTGCGGCGGCGCCGCGTCGGCGGCGGCGACGACGACAACGACGACAACGACCCCTCGTGCCGAAAGGTCGCCTGGGAAGTCATGCAGGCGGCGGCGGTGGCGGCGGCGACGGCGGCGACGGCGATGACGACGACGACGATTACAACGACTAACCAACCGCTCTGCGGTTGATCGGGAGTTTCGGCGAATCGGAATGAAAACGAGCGTGAGGATCGGGAGGGCGAGGCTCGCGAGCGGGAGGATCAGGAGAGTGAGGGTCATGTGGGTGAGGATCAGGCAAGCGTGGAGCAGGAGGGTGAGGATGTGGAGAAGGAGGGCCAGGAGAGCGAGGATGACGAGAATGAAAATCAGGAGGATGAGGATCGGGTGGGCGTGGCGCCCCCCGCTGCCATGGTGGCATCCTCCTCCTCCTCCTTCTCTTCCTCCCCTGCCTCCTCCAACTCCCCCTGTCCTCCTCCACCTCGTCCTCCTCCTCCCTCTCCTCCTTTTCCTCCTCGTCCCCCCTCCTCCTCTCCCCCAGCAAATTCCGGGATCTCGCCTGAAACGGAACAGGGGAGGATTGAGGGCTTCCTTGCACCCATGGGGAGGCTCAGACCAGTTTTTCTGAGGATGTCCCACGCGAGGCGCCCGTTTGGAATTCGTCGCCAGATTTCCCGGATCTCGCCGGAAACAGAACAGGCCTCTGAGGCCTCCTTGGGGAGGCTCCGGGGGCGTTTTTTTTGGTGAGAATGTCCCACACGAGGGCGCCGTTTGGAATTCGTCGCCGGATTTCCCGGATCTCGCCGGAAACGGATTAGGGGGTCCTCTGAGGCCTCCTCGGAGAGGCTCTGGGGGCGTTTTTTTTCTGAGGATGTCCCACGCGAGGGCGCCAGATCACGATTCTCCCGGCGCGCCCGGTTCAGCCCGGCGTGCCCGGTTCAGCACCAGAAATGGGTCTTGGCGGCGCGTTGGGAGGCGTACGTTCTCGCGCGCCGGGTGTCAAGAGGACGTGAGTTCCACAGAAACTCCTTCAAACGACGATGACGACGACGACGACGACGACGACGACGACGACGACGACGACGACCCCTTGTGCCGAAAGGTTGCCCGGGAGGTCATGCAGGCGCTGCTGGACCACGCGGCCTGCGCCGAGGGCCTCGAGGACGGGACCACTTGGCCAGAGGCGTCTTTGCCTTCGTCGGGGTCGAAGCCGGGGTCGAAGCCCAGCTCGTCGGGGTCGAAGCCCAGCTCGTCGCCGTCAGATTCGGACTGGGGTCGTCGTGGCCCTCGTCGACGGAGTGGGAGTGGCCGTCGAGAGCACTCCTCCCCCCATCTCTTCGCACTCCTCCCCTTCTCCCCCACACAAACTCGCACCCCCCCCCACCCCACTCCTATCCTCCGCCCTCCGCCGTCCTTGGCGCTTCCCCTCATTCCCCCCCCTCCTTCCCCCCTCCTCTCCACTCCCCCTCGACCACCTCCTCCTCCCTATACTCCCCACGCCACTCCGCTCCGCCAGGCTTCTCTCTCTCGACTCCTCCCCGCGCGCCCATCACTGCGCGGCCCCCGCCCCATCCTCTGCAGCCTCCTGTGACTTCGCCCAGCCCTTCGCGCGCCTGCCGACTCCTTCGCGCGCCTCCCCGCTCCTCCGCCTTCGGCTCCCCGCGGCCCCCGGGCGCTCGTCCGGCCCCGTGCGCTGCCGCTACTGGCGACGAGCGCGCCCTTGCGCAGGTCGCTCGGCTTGCCCATCGGCGCTCAGGCTTCCCCTGCCTCCTTCTCCTGGTCCTCCTCCCTGTTTCTCTTCATACCCCCTTTTCGCCTGCTTTCCCCAGTCCTTTTCTTCCTCTTCCTCCTCTTCCTCCTCCCTCCTCCCTCCTCCTCCTCCTCCTCCTCCTCCTCCTCCTCCTCCTCCTCCTCCTCCTCCTCCTCCTCCTCCTCCTCATCCTCCTCTCCCCAGGCTTCCCTGCTTCGCCCTCCGGGCTCCCGAGGTCTTGCGCCCATTGGCCCCCCCGCCCGAGCACGGCGCGCCGCCCCAGCATATGCAGCTGCTGCGCGGCGGCGGCGAGGCAAGAGGCCCCCCCCGAGAGGCAGACGAGGGCTTTCGGGTTCGCCTCCCGTTCGTTTCGGGCTTCTGGGGGCTACTACGACTACTACTACTACTACTACTACTACGATACTACTACTACTACTACTACTACTACTACTACTACTACTACTACTACTACTACTACTACTACTACTACTACTACTACTACTACTACTACTACTACTACTACTACTACTACTACTACTACTACTACTACTACTACTACTACTACTACTACTACTACTACTACTACTACTACTACTACTACTACTACGACTACGACTACGACTACGACTACGACTACTACTACGACTACGACTACGACTACGACTACTACTACGACTACTACGGCTCCTTCTGCTCCGTTCCAGCGGGTCGTGCCTCGACCCCCCGAGGACTGCGCGGGGAAGCTGCAGGCCGCCCTGGCGGGCGACGCCGTCCCCGCCAGCGAGGCGCTCCTGGCGCTGTTGACGGCGCTGAGCGAGCTGGCGTTCGGCCCCCGCGTGTCCTTCCTGGAGGCCCTCTACACCGGCCAGCAGGAGCGCATCGACTGCCTCCTCGACAAGGCCCAGCCGTTCCTGGCCATGCTGCCGCCCATGCCCGCGGAGCACGGCGCGCACATCTGCGACGGCTGCGACCAGGGGCCCCTCCGCGGGCCCCGCTTCTCCTGCAAGAGCATCGGCGACTTCGACCTCTGCGCCCGCTGCTTCGCGGACAGGGACTCCATCTGCGGCGGCAGGTGCGCGGGCCACGAGTTCGAGACGATCGCGGGCACCGCCTGCGGAAAGGGCCATGGCAAGGGCAAGGGCAAGGGCAAGCACAAGGGCGGCCACGCCGCGGAGGGCGCCGAGGGCGCCGGCGTCGGCCCGCAGCAGTCGGGGCCCAGCACTCTCAGGGCGAGGGAGGGTGCGGACGAGACCATCACCATACCGAGCGGCTTCTCCGTGGTCGCCGCATTCTACGGGGACGCGTCGCGCGGCAAGGGGCGCGACGTCACCGACATCGTGAAGAGCTGCGAAGCCAGCGGGCAAGTCCTTCGTGCATCCAACGAGCTCTTCGGGGACCCCGTCTTCGGCACGGAGAAGACCCTCTTCGTAGACGTCGAGGCGTCTGCAGTGACAAGCTCCACGGACTGCGACAGCCAGATGCCCGCAGATGGCGACAGCCAGGCGACCACGGACAAGGGCAAGGGCAAGGGCAAGTGCAAGGGCAAGGACAAGAGCAAGTGCGAGGGCACCGGCGTCGCCTGCGCCAACCCAGGTTGCGGCTTCCGGGTGACTTGGCACGCGACCCACTGCTGCCACATGTGCAAGAGCTCCGACGGCAAGGGGCACGGGCACAGGTGCAACAAGGCGCCCGTGCCAGACGCCAGGGAGGAAGGAGGAGGAGGAGGAGGAGGAGGAGGAGCGGAAGGAGGAGGACACAGTCGATCCTCTTTCCCCGTCCCCGCCCAGAGGCAGCTTCTTCCAACAGCCTTCTCGCTCGCGCGTCCTCGGTCGTCCCTCTCGTCCTCCGTCTCCTGCCTCCGCCTCTGCTTTGGCCCTCGGTCGTCGTGCGTCCCTCTCTGCTTTCGTGCGCCTCCTCCTCCATCCACTGCGCCGCGGCTTCTCAGCCATCCGTCCCCCCCGTGCGCCCTGCGCACCCCGGAGCCGTCCTGCGGGACGGCTTGTTGGCAGCGCCTCGCTCGGCCTCGCCTCCGTCGGTCCCCGACCCTCCCCGCCCATCTCCTCCTCGCGCGGGAGCCCGCGCGCGCGCGGGACGACCAGGAGGGGGAGGGGAAGGGGCAGAGTGAGGAGGGGGAGGAGGAGAAGGAGGAGGAGGGGTGGGAGGGAGGAGGGCGAGGAGGAGGACGAGGACGAGGAGGAGGAGGAGGAGGCGGAGGAGGAGGAGGAGGAGGAAGAGAAACAAAGACGAGGAGGAGGAGGAAGGAGGGCGATGAGGAGGAGAGCAAGGTGCCCGTGGCAGACACCGAGGCCACGTCCAAGGAGCCCCCAGCGCCCGGCGCTGCCCCGGCCAGCTCCGCGGGCCGCGACGGCCGGGCCGAGCTGCATGGGGCACCCGCCCTGGACGGCTCGACGGAGGGCGACAGCCCGGCGGGCACGGCGCAGGGCACGGACAAGGGCAAGGGCAAGGGCAAGGGCAAGGGCAAAGGCACCGGAGTACGGTAGGTTTGCGTCGTGTCGACCAGCGGCGACCCCAGCGCGGGCGTTCAAGGTTGAACGCCGCCGGCGGCCCAGAATCGATCGATGTTGAACGATCGGACGTTGCGGCAGCGGCCGATCGTTCAAGGTTGAGCGATCCCCGCGGTGTCAGAAACCAACGCCGAAGTCGGCACGACACGAACCTGCCGTACAAAAACTCACCGAGAGCGTCGCACTGCTCGCCAGAAGTGCGCACTCGCAGAGGCTCCCAGAAGCGGGCGTCTGCCTCGACGTGGTGGATCGCGGGTTTCCCTCGGCGGATCCAGGCCATGTGCGAGCAGCTACTCTGCGAGTGGTGGAGCGCGCTTGTCTAGAAACGGCATAAACGTAAACTTGCGAAGCTCCGCGCGGATTCCTTGGATCGGCTCTGGGCCCCCCTGGCGGCGCCTCCGGCGCCGCCCCTGGCGCGCTCCGCGCGACGGGCAGGGGCTCCAGCGCCGGTCCGAGACATCCGCGTGGACCTCGGGAAGTTTCTGTTTGTGCAGCCTTATTTCTTCGATCGATGATCCTCAGGACGTGTGTTAGCCCAATGTGTGTATTACCCCCTTCGGCCCAACCAGTAGATCATTTCATCGCCTGCGTCGTATCGAAGGGCCTCGGTGGACAAACACACGTTGGGGCTAACACACGTTCTGAGGATCATCGATTCTAAGGCAAGGAAGGCAAGGACAAGAGGAAGTGCGAGGGCACCAGCGTGGCCTGCGCTTGTGGCTGCGGCTTCCAGGTGACCTGGCACAAAACCCACTGCTGCGGCATGTGCAAGCAGACCGACGGCAAGACGCACGGGCCGAAGTGCAGCCAGGTGCCCCTGGAGGCTTACGGAGGCCCCCAGAGGCTTCCGGAGGGCTCTAGCCTCCGAGTATCCTGGGAGGCTCGGGTTGACCCAAAAGGGGTCCAGCGACAAGGGGGTGGTGCACTAGATTTGGTGCACTGGATTTGTGGGGGTTGCAATGCATGTGGGGCGTGCAGTACATTCCAGGGCGCAAGTGTATTGTTGGACTCGCGTGCAATTCATGACTTGCGGTGCTATGCAATACCACTCTCTGGCGCAAGACGCTTGCAAAACAGTCGCCCCAAATCTATTGCGCCACCCCCTTTTCAGCAGTGGACCCCCTCATGGGTCACCCAAAGCGGCTCCTGGAGGCAAAGAAGCAGCCGACACCTGCGGGGCCCCAGGTGGGGCCCAGCCCTAGGCGGCATTGGTGGGCCAGTCCTGCTGGAGGCCGGCCTCTCCTCCATTCCGGGGCTGCCCGTCCCGACTGTGCTCTGTCCCGGCCCTCCGGCCCCCCGCCCTCGCCCACGAGTGCTAGGAGGCGCCTCTCTCTCTCTCTCTCTTTCTCTCTCTTTCGCTCTCCCTCGTTGTCTCCTCTCTCTTTCGCTCTTTCTCTCTCTCTCTCTTTCTCTCTCTCTCTCTCTTTTTCTCTCTCTCTCTCTCTCTCTCTCTCTTCCGCTCTCCCTCTCTCCGTCTCCTGCCGCCGCAATAGTGTGCCATCGCACGAGCTCCACGGCGAGCTCCGCCCTGCCCGTGTGGGCCTGAGCCGGTCCCTCCCCGCGGGCTGCGGCCCGATCTCTTCCCTGCCTCCCGCGCCGCGTCCCGGGGGGGGGGGGGAGGATGGAGCCTCCAGAGTTTCGGGGGCCCCCCAACGGTGTGGTGACCATGCCGTGTGGTGAGTCGGTGGGGATTCGGGGTCACCGCACGGCTTTGGGACTCGAGTCCCTCTCCGAGGATGTCTCGGGCGACAGGGGCCTCCAGGGTCCCAAAACCGTGCGGTGACGGACCGTGCGGTGAGGTCTTGGGGGATTTCGAGGTCACCGCACGGTCTGGCACTGCACCGCTTCGGAACTCCAAGCAAATTGGTGGGAGGCGAAGATTGGTATAACATAAACTGTTCCGCCGTCGGGGATGCCTGCCCCCCGAGGCGGCTGCAAAGCGCCCACGTAGGGGCATCGATTTTCGGGCCGGGCCTGGACCTAAACGCTTTTGTTGCTGGGCCTCGGCTGTGTTTTGCTCTTCGTTTTGGCAAACAGGTGCAGCAAGACAGGTAGAGCAAAACGGAAAACAAAACGAACAGCACAACAACGTGTAGGTCCAGCCCGGTTTCCAGCTGCCCTGGGGGCAGGCGTCCGCGGCGGCTGAAAAGTTTATGCAGCACCCCGCGACTGCGGACAAGAGGAAGGGCACGGGGCCAGAGTGGGTCGCGGGGCGGGTCGCGGGCCAGTCGTGTGTGCGTCGCGGGGTGGGTCGCGCGGGGGTCGCGCGTGGGTTGCGGGTTGGTCAAGGGGTTGATCACGGGGCGGGTCGCGCGTGGGTCGCGGGTGGATCAAGGGATGGGTTGCGGATGGGTCGCGGGTGGGTCAAGAGGTGAGTCGCGAATGGGGCGAGGGCGGGATGATGGCAACACAACAACAACAGCATTAACAACAACAACAACAACAACAATTACTAGCACGTGGGGACGCACCGTTCTCACCAGTGCCAGGGTTTTCATAGGAGGCGGGCAATACCCCCACTTTGTGGGGGGGCCGGTTCAAGCTCTACCAAATTTCCAAACGACTCTTCGCCACCACCCACACCCAGCTTCCCGCCCTATGACGTTCGGACACTTCACTTCGTGGCATGCGGACGACCGTGGCTACTATTCAGGGCCCCGCGGCCGACGACGACGGCGTGCGCGCGCGAAGAAAAAACGAATGTGTCCCGCATGGTATTATTTGACAGGGATGATGGCCCTGGCAGGTGCGCAACCGTTGTTGCAGAAGTTCGAAAAAGTTGCTCGCAAAAGCCCGTTTGACAGAAATGTTTAAAAAGTGTTGGGTTTCCTACGAATCCGCAAGAGCGCGCGGGATGAAATTTTGACATTTTTTTTTGAAAAACCATTGGTTTTTTTATGTTTTTATGTTAAAATCGCTACGAACACTAAGGTTTTGGAAGGATTTCGTCTTGCGCGCGCGAATGTCCACTTTACCTTATTTTTTGCAAGGGATTCTTGAAGTTTGGTTATGTTAGAACAAGAAATGTCCACTTTAGCGTATTTTTTGCAAGGGAAAACGGGGGACAACAAAACAACCGGATCCGGACACCCACGTTTTGCCTGAGACTTCCTCACGAAAATGATGAAAATGTGGCTGCGGCCTAGGCGCGGCGAGGGGGCCGCGCACCGGGGGCCCCAACAATAATTATTTTTTAGAATACATAATGTTCAACAACAACAACAACAGCAACAACAGCAACAGCAACAGCAGCAACAACAACAGAAACGGCAACAGCATCAGCAACATCAGCAACATTAACAATAACCACAACCACAACCACAACCGCAACCACAGCAACAATAACAGCAACACCAACAACAATAGCAGCAATCTTTTCAAGACTTCACTCCTATCTTCTCACGTGCCATCCAGCACATCTATCCCAAACCCTCGATACTCGCCCTCGCCGTCTTCGATCGTACCCCCTTGGGGGACATATCTTTCTCACCTGCCACGCGCATTCAGTGCAGCCCCTAAAACAGGGGAAGAGACGACGGATGGAAGGGGGAGGGAAAAACATTGAACACGAGATGAATTAGCAGGATGGGGGCAAGGAACAGAAAACAAGTGATTGAACCACACGGGCAGATCGGGTTTGCAGACCCATAGCGGGCGGGTCGGGAAGGCGGGCCCAGGCGACCAGGTCGAGCAGGCGGGTTGTTGAAGCGTGGGTCCTGCATGAATCGCGAGGAAGTCTCGAGCGATGGCGCGATTCCCAATTAAATCTTGAGATGGACCAAAGCGAGAGCGCGATTCCTGAGCGCCGAGGGCGCATCGTCTGAATAAGTTGCGAGGAAGTCCCACGCAAGAGCGCGAATCCGACATACATTGTGAAGAACTCCCGCACGAGAGCGCGATTCTTCAAAAAATCGCGAGGCACCATCAGGTGGGAACCGCTGTTGTTGTAGACCAGAGGTCAGCAACCCACTTCTGAGACCCTTCCCTGATAAGGAAGAAGGTGCGAGCCCTGGGAGGGGCACTTCAATTGAAAAACACGATGTGCCCCGGAGGGGGGATCAGCAATAATTATTCTTCAGAAGTGAGCATCAAACCATTTTGACATTGGTCGTGTTTACCTGTCCTCTTGTTCTTCGATCGTACCCCCGCTGGGGGTATATCTTCCCTTTCTGCCGAGTGTAGTTGGCGCAGCCTCTAAAACAGGTGAAGAGACGACGGGTGGAAGGGGGAGGGAGAAAGATGGAGCACGAGAGGAATCAGCACGGGGGGGTCAGGAACAGAAAACAGGTGGTAGAACCAGACGGGCTGATCGGGTTTGCAGACCCATAGCGGGCGGGTCGGGAAGGCGGGCCCAGGCGGCCAGGTCGAGCAGGCGAATTGCTGAAGCGTAAGTACTGCGCGAATCGCTAGGAGGTCTCAACCGATAGCGCGATTCCCAAGTGAGTCATGCGAAGGATCAGAGCGAGAGCGTGATTCGTGAGTGTCGAGGGCGCTGCGTCTGCATAAATTGAACCATCCAACGCTGGAGGGCGATTCCTGCATGCATTGTGAGGAAACCCCGCGCGAAAGTGCGCATTTGAAATTAATTGTGAGGGAGTAACAGGCGGGAACCGCTGTTGTTATGAACCGGGGGCCACGGGCTTAGCTTGGTGGCACCACGCTTTCCCTTGTAAACAGATGCGTGCGAGCCCCGGGAAAAACATTGCAAACATATAGAATGTGTTCCGGAAGGGGGGGCAACATACATTTTTTATACAAAAGCGACAACAACACCGACAGCAACAACAACAACAACAATTACTAGCATGTGGGGACACTCCGTTCTCACCAGTGCCAGGGTTTTCATACGACGCCCGCCAATACCCCCACTTTGTGGGGGGGCCGGTTCAAGCTCTACCACATTTCCAAACGACTCTTCGCCACCACCCACACCCAGCTTCCCGCCCTATGACGTTCGGACACTTCACTTCGTGGCCTGCGGACGACCGTGGCTACTACACTGGCGCATGGGTACAGTGACTTGTTGTGGGTAGAAATTTTGAAAATTCGTACAGATGTTTTTCGAGGACCTACGGTGCGATTCGTATGATTTTATGTTGCGCGGTGCTAAAATTCCTAAGAAACCCAATGGTTTTTGAAGATTTCGGCGTGCGCGCGCGAAGAAAAAACGAATGTGTCCCGCATGGTATTATTTGACAGGGATGATGGCCCTGGCAGGTGCGCAACCGTTGTTGGAGAAGTTCGAAGCACGTGAAAAAGTTGCTCGCGAAAGCCCGTTTGACAGAAATGTTTAAAAAGTGTTGGATTTCCTACAAATCCGCAGGAGCGCGCGGGATGAAATTTTGACACTTTTTTTTTTTTTTTTTTTTTGAAAAACAATTGGTTTTTGATGTTTTTATGTTAAAATCGCTACGAACACTAAGGTTTTGGAAGGATTTCGTCTTGCGCGCGCGAATGTCCACTTTACTTTTATTTTTTTTGCAAGGGATTCTTGTAGTTTGGTTATGTTAGAACAAGAAATGTCCACTTTGCCTAATTTTTTGCAAGGGAAAACCGCCCGTAACAAAACAACCGGATCCGGACCAACCCGTTTCGCCAGAGACTTCCTCACGAAAGTGATGAAAACATGGCTGCGGCCTAGGCGCGGCGAGGGGGCCGTGCACCAGGGGCCCCAACAATAATTATTCTTTAGAAGTAATAATGTTCAATGACAGCATTAATCATAGCAGCAACCACAACCACCACAACAACAAGCAGTTGAAGAGATTTCGGTCTTACTTGCCAGCGTGTCTTTCATTTGTATACCACAACCGTCGATACCCGGCCACCCCGTCTTCGATCGCACCCCTTTTGGGGGGGAATCGTTTCTTTGTCGGCCACTGACTGAAGTGGGACGAACTCTCGAGCGAAAGCGCGGTTCAGGAGTTCGGGGGCTTCTCTATTCGCCAGG